GTATGTATGTATGTGTATACATATACGTATGCATATGTGCATCGAATACACGTTCGTAAACATATACATCTACATATCCATACACATGGACACATACATACACGTACACACACATATGTAATATATATATATATATGTATACACACAATTAGATTGTATATATGTATATACAGACTTGTATGTGTACATGTACATATGCATGCAGGCTTGTTGGTCTGTGCCATTTTGTATGGTTGAGGTCATGATGTTGTGATAATGTGTGATATATGTGAAACGTAGTAGATATGAAAGGGTTGAGGGTTTAGGGTAGGAGGTCTGGGGCAAGCAGGTGGTTAAACAGGGGCGTGTCTCCAGCAAGGAGGGTTTCGTTTGCCCAGTAGAACATGCCGTGCAAACCGTATGATGTGGGCCCTCCAGCAGTGCTGATATGGACCTGGTTCTTGAGGGATTTTGAGACAGGTGGGTTTGGTGGGTCCCTCAGGCCGCTCGCGGATACGCCGTAGATTCCGTAGATAGGTGAATTGACAGTTCTGCATCGAGCGAAAATGTGTGGAGTGGCCGGGGGCAGCGCGGCTTGGCTGATTGTTTTTGTGTTCTTTAAACCTTCCTATAAATGTAAACTCAAGGGCCATGTAACAACCCTATAAGCTCTATGCTTTAGAAGATCTACAGGCTCTCAACGCTGTAAAACCTAACTTCTAAACCCTAGTAGCTTTTAAGTTTGTCCAACCACAATACATTGCCTTTTTCTGCCACATATCCACCTCAGGCCTCCTCGCATGCAAGGCCTAATCCCTCTAATCCAGGAACTTCCCAGACGGTTTGAGACAGAAGGAAGGTGCAACCCGATTTGGCCACCATCAAGTGAGGATATCCCTTGCCTTTAACTATGAGTCTACAGAGCCGGGATAGAGAGTAGTCAGTCGTCATCGCGGCCGTTGTCGTCGTGAAACAGCTCTTGCAGTCGCAGAAGTCTTACGTAGTTGTGGTCGTCGTGGTGGTGCTGATTTTTTTGACCGTTCCCGGAGGCAGGAGGCTTGACTCCAGGCTAAAGCCAGCCATGTCAGAGCAGCTTGCAGCCATGCTGTAGAACGGTTTAGGGTTTAGGGTTTAGGGTTGAAAGCCACGAGACGCCCTACAGCCCAAAGCCCGAGCAACGACGTCTACAGCCCTCCAAGCCTTTACCTCTACATCACAGAGCCATTAAAGTTGTTTTTTTGCGCCAGGAGCGTCACTCTCCTCAGGCCCACGTCGATCACCGTAAAGCTTCCACCCTAAACCCTAAACCCTAAACCCTAAAGCTTCCACCCTGAACATTCAATCTTTAGTCTTCGGCCTGCTGGACCTTCAACCCCAAATCCTAGATCCCACAAGCCCATATAAGCCTCAAATCCTACAGTCCCCTAAACCCTAAACCCTAAACCCTAAACCCTAAACCCTAAAACCCTAAACCCTAAACCCTAAACCCTAAAACCCTAAACCCTAAACCCCGAAAACCTGGTCGACTCCAGCCCCTCTCCGAAAGCTTCCCGGCGCTTCATGGCGAATGGCCAAAGCTCGGCGGAAGGGCTGCTGCGGCCAGGGCCCCAATGTTCGTTTTAGGTTTAGGGTTTAGGGCTTATAGGGTTTAGCGTTTAAGGTTTAGGGTTCAGGGTTTAGGGTTTAGGGTTTTGGTTTAGGGTTTAAACACATGGAGAGCTTGGGTTGATGACAGGATCCGTGTTAAAGATCTTAGCTAAAAAGCATGGACCAGAATCGGGAAAGCAAGGCGTTGAGTGCCGATGCTGCTCTTGGTGCTTAGTCAGTGTGGTCCATAGCAGCGCGCGAGGATGATGATTCCGTGGAGCCACGACCTCTGACACTGAGCATGACAGTGACAAGGATAAAGGCATTCGTAGTAATGACGACTCCCAGATTGTTGTTATTCTCAAAGCTTCTTCTAGACTACAGTTGTAGTTGTGATGATCACTCCGATAATTTCACGGCCTGTTTGGGGCTTCAGATTGCGTCTGAGTTGGAGAGAGGAGTGAAACTCCGAACCCCACATCCTTATCATAAGGCCTTCTAGACTAAACAAGGTACCCCTAATTCTCCTGAAACACGTCTACTCAGTCTACTCCTCAGTCAGAAAGAGTGTCCAACTGGGATTTCGGGTGTTGCTCGATGTTCAGGACCCTTTGGGCGTGGCTGAGATTAGGACCAGCCTCACATCCTAAACCCAACACCCCAGGCCTTAACCCTGAACCCGAAACCTCAATCCCTGAGGTCTTAGCACCAAACCTGGCCCTAAAACCTACACCCTCCCACATTAGCTGCCGCCATGACAGGTTGCGGGTACGTGCAGACCATCGTTTGTTGTGTCGTGGCCCGAGTCTGCCCACCGTGTCATGAAGGCAAATTCAGAAACCACAGCCCGAAGCTTCCGAAGCTCGTGCTTCGAGCCTTAGAACTCTAAACCCTACCCTCAATCCTAACCACCCTAAACCCTAAACCCTAAACCCTAAACCCTAAACCCTAAACCCTAAACCCTCAATCCTAAACCCAAAGCCCCAAAACCCAAAGTCTGAACCCAAAAGCCCTCCCAACTCCCGATTCCGTAAGGTTGTCGCTAAGCTATACAGGCTATACACTATATGGGTAGTTGTCAAAATTATGGTCCCTTTTGGGGCACCCTAAATAATAGGTGCCGTATTATAATAAGGACCCAAAAAGGGACCATATCTTTGACAACCACCCATATGGGGATCGTTCTAATGATTGAACATCAACTCCTTAGTTCAAGAATGCAGCTTGCACAAAAACAGGGCTTGTTACTATTCTTGAGAATATCCTCCCTAATTACAAGCTTAAACTACACAGGTCTTCCTTTCCAGTCTTCTTGAAGATATTCCTAAACCCTAAACCCTCACCCTAAACCCTAAACCCTAAACCCAAAACCCAAAACCCAAAACCCAAAACCCAAAACCCAAAACCCAAACCCTAAACCCTAAACCCTAAACCCCAATTACCAAAGTAATGGGCTCTCGGAGGGACGCAGGGCTTCGGAGGCTTGGGGCCTTCGGGGATGTGTTTGCGAGCGTCTGGGTCCGGGCATCACAGGGGTTGAGGGGCTTACATAACCCTAAGGGGTTTAATGTTTAGGGTTAGGGTTTAGGGTTTAGGGTTTATAGGGTTTAGGGTTTAGGGTTTATAGGGTTTAGGGTTTAGGGTTTAGGGTCTAAGCCCTAGCCCTTAGCCCCAAACCCTATACTTCATAGGGCGTATTGATGGCTTCGGGCTTCCAAACTTCAGGTCTCCTTGTCGAGGGTTCTAAGTTTTGGGTTAGGGTTTGCTGACGTTTAGGGTTTAGGGTTTAGGGTTTAGGGTTCAGGGCTTTGGGTTTAGGGTTTAGGGTTTAGGGTTTAGGGTTTAGGGTTTAGGGTTTAGGGTATGGATGTTCTTGGTTTCTTTCCCGCTTTGTCGCTCGGTGGGACTTCAGCGATCCAAGCTCAATAAGCCCTGGGCACTAAGCCCTAAACCCCTAAACCCTCAACCATGCCCTTTGTAAAGCAAGAATCGGGGTCAACCGGCGGCTTTCCTGGATTCGCTGCTTTGTAGTTTTCGATCCGGTCTGCCAAACCGCGAGAACTCACATTGAGCTATGTGGACATGGAAGCTCAATCACGGATTTTTGTGCCCTTGATACACTGTATTCAGTAAGGCCCGTACCAAGCACTGGGAGTTTATTTGGGTGTGGCGGAACCCAAACCTGAATGTCCAGATGTGAGAAGATGACGTGCTGCTTAACTAGTGCCAGCGGGGTCTTTGAGCATTTGTTGTCATCGTATGAAGTAGCTAGGACGTTTGTGATGGTGGTGGCAAATGTTTATGACTTAGAGAGAGAGAGAGAGAGAGAGAGCGCACGAGAGCGAGAGAGAGAGCGAGAGAGAGGGAGAGAGATAGATAGATAGATATATATATATATATGCATATGTATATATATATATATGTATATATATATATATACATACACACACCCATGCAGAAACCTTACCATTACATGCACGTAGATATATGTTTACACATATGGGTACACGTATGTTGTATATACATGTATGCAGGGCTCCTGAAAAGTCTTGGTGAGTGTACATTCTGGACGATACGTCGGGGATACTTGCCGTAAGATTCTGAAGCAGTAGGCTTTCGGCATTGGCTCTCAGCACTTTTAGTGCGGTGGCGGAAAAACTGTTCCCTATTCGGGTGCGGAAGAACGGTTCTGCATATCGTCCTTCGGCCATGGGCTGTGGAGCGAGTTGCTCGGCCGGATAATACAGGGGCCGAAATAGTTGCCTGTAGTATTTTGGGGGTTCAGTATTATAATTATGGTATAACATACCCCAAAACCCTATTCTAATTCTTAAGGCCCATATAGTACACGAAGCAGGATTCGGGCTCAACGTCAGGTTGTTTACCTTAGCCCTATCATATTACACCGCATGCTTGGTTTGGTACAGTGTCAGTACTCACGGTGGGAACAGCAAGAGTAGAAGCCACTTTATCAGCTATAGCTGCAGCTTTGAACACCTTGCTCGGCACTTTGCCTGCAGATGCCCACTTGCCTTGAACAGGACGCTACAGCTTTTTTCTTGTGGAGTGCTTGCCCAACCCAGGCAGTGTTGCGAACCAAAACGTGAAGCGAACGTCGTCCTTCTATGGCAGGATGCTAGGCTCCACAGTGGTATCCTTTTTCTTTGTGTGTTTCGGGGTGCTCCAGGTTCCATCAAAACGGACTTCTAGGATGAAAGGAATCCTTATTATGTTCGGAGCTGCTGGGGTTAGGTCTACAGCGCCAGTTCTTCCGGGAGTTCCCATGCCACCGGATCGGTCAACACACGATGACCATATCAGGAAGTTGAACAAGTACCTGTGCAAGGCGAGGATTCTGTAAAGGTTCCTGTGAGGGTTCGATGGTTTTATGCGGGCACCAAGAAGGCGTCACAACAAAAGTTCTAAGCGGAGCTTGGGGTTCCTTTTGCTTCCTAAACCCTAAACCCCAAACCCCAAACCCCTAAACCCTAAACCCTAAACTCTGGGTTCTAGGGTTCATTTTGCTTGGTTTTGGGGGTTCATGGGTGTACGGATCCGGGCCTTTAACCTCCTGTGTCAACCTGAGCCTCGCCTAGCAAAGCCACCACCCAACATCGCCACTCACCGTCTTGGGGGTTTAGGGTTTAGGGTTTCGGGAACCCTAAAGCCGAAACCCTAAACCCTATAAACCCTAAACCCTACATGAGCCCTAATCCCGTAACTTTAAACCTTCAGATCAGGGCCAATGAGTCGACCCAGAAGCTCTTGTAGGGGCCTAAATAATTGCCAATGTTATTTTGGGGTTTCCTTATTAGGGCTCCTATATTACCCAAGCTGTAAACTAAGGTTCCGAATTGCGCCGGCGCGCGGTAGGATCAAGCGGCCAGATGAGAATGGGTAAACTTCCGAAACCCTGGTGCCTAAACCCGGAAACCCCCAAGCCCTAAGCCCTAAACCCAAAGCTTCCAAGACCCTAATCCGTCATCGACACCTGACCTTCAGGCAGTTTTGGAAGCTGCAGACTGTAGCGAGAAGCAAAAGGTGCTTAAACTTTTTAGAACCGTAGTTGGCTTTCCAAGGAGCGTTTCTCCCAGGATGCGATAGAAGTCAGGAAAGTACGTAAAAATGCCTTCATGCCAAGGGCAGTAGTAAGGGTTGAGCGCAGGTAAACATGGGCATTGCTACGTGATTCCTGTCAGACCCCAACTACGCAATCTCCATCAGCCATTCCGAGGGAAGTACACCCATGCGAGTGTAGGGCAGGCGGGGTGTTCAAGTCGGAGTTCGTTCTTATGCTATGTGCCTCCCAACGTGCAGCGGTAGGAAGCGCTTAACAGGCATCCTTCTGTCCAGGATCCTGTTTTCAGGGCTTTATCCGGACCCTGGACCCTCCAATGTGAGAATGTCCCGTGGACTTCAGGTGGAGAGAGATCCGCATCTCGGCAGAATGATCATGATGACTTGAAGTGGAGCGCGTCAATCGTAGCCTCTACTTAGACGAGCTTTTCGGTGTTCTGGGTTTGGCAATCTGTGAAGGAGTCTCCAATTAACTGTGTTTTTGTACTTCCAATAGGAGTAGAGGATCTCCTTCCACTTACCTAAGCCCTATGTGATCCACCTTCATGGCGAAGAGGGGCCATAGTTTCGGTTTAGGGTTTAGGGTTTAGGGTTCAGGGTTCAGGGTTTAGGGTTCAGGGTTTAGGGCTTAGGGTTTAGGGTTTAGGGTTTAGGGTTTCAGCTTGAGGCTACTTCAGTTGGTTTATGATCAAGATTGTGGTTCTTGCGCTCACTATGTCCACTGCTGTGCTATCCTTATCCTCGTCGTTCTTCTTACGAAATCTGCTGCTGCTGCTGCTGCTGCTGCTGCTGCTGCTGCTTCATGCTTCTTGTTCTTCTCGAGTTTTTCTATCTTGTCCCGGTCCCTCCCATTGAGGTTGCAGTGCGAACCTACCCGGGATGTACATCATAAACTTGCCTTGCAGGATTCTAAGCCCTCAAATTTTAACCAGGGCAAGATGGAAGATCTATGTTGATTCTCGGCAATCGGACTGGATGTGGCTCGACATTCCGGGACAATCCAACGATGAAGCCTCCTGACCGCAGCTCCAGCCATGTACCATATTCCGTTTAGGGTTTCGGGCCTTTCGGGTTTATTTGTTGCGGGTTTAGGTTTGATTCTTCGGGCTTGAGTCGCAGGGTGACACTCGAGCTACCTGAACAGCACTGCAAATGGTCGGAGGGGCTGAGGTGCTTCAGGTATCTGCACATAGCTACACCCAGCGGCCTCAGATGCCCAAGCCCAGAAGCCCCGAACATCCTGAGCCGCCTTTAGGCTTTCAATGTTCCATCAAAGCTGCTACATCCGCCAACTTCCTTGAATCCTGCAAGCACCCCATTCCGAGTCTGAGGATACAGCCCAAGTCGTGGACGCCCACGAGTGAATTCGAAACTAATGCATCAGCGGGAGTCCTTCCGTGTACAGGTTTTAGCTCAAGGCTTGCAGGATGAAAGGTGGCCTGGTAGGAGTAGGCCTACGCAGATCTCGAGTGCACCCAGGCGATGATACTATGCAGCATGAAAAGAGTCGTTTTTGTTCTTTCGTGTGTTCTCCCGAAGCCCAAAACCTTAAGCCAGAAGAGACCACAAGTGCAGAATCGCTGTGGCCTGCTTTATTGGCCACCTCCTGCCAATACCGAGTTTAAATCAGTTTGAGCCTTTGTGTGAGCTTCCGCCGCACGCAGCTTCTTCGGTTTGAGGTTCAGCTTGCGCGCATGCTGAGCCATTTCGTTTTTTCCTGTGTTCCGCTGTGTTCTGTAAAGGGTCCGGTTGGCGAACTGGAACGAATTAGCTGCGGAGCGTGGCCACAAGAGCAGTTTTCTCAGGCCCGTAGGCCGTAGTGTTTGTGTTTCCGTTGGTGCTCTGAAGTCCAGGATGTCTCTGTAGTTGGTAGCATCCCTACCCGCGGCAGTCATTGCAAAGACTGGCAGTCTTCCTCTTTCTAGGACCTTGTCAGGTGGGTAGTTGCCGTTATAGGAGCCTTATAGCAGGTCTATATACCTTATAGAAGCCTTATAGAAGCCCTATATACCCTAAACTCCCTACCTGTAGTTTCCTTTAACTCTGGTTCCCCTTCGGAAGCTCCGAAGCTCTCCAAGGCCCCTTCCCGAAACCCACAGATTAAATGTCCCAAGCTCATCTGTCCAGGGATTTCAGACGCAGAGCCGTCTCTTTCGCAGCTAGAAGGCGCGAGGGGATGTGAAGGTGTCACAAGCAGAGAATTGGTAGTCTTCGATAGTCTTCCGAGCTGTCCGGTAGTCTGTGTCCCACACATCATGTGAGTCGTCGATCCTGTGATGACATGCAGTGGGCTGTGCTCGCTCCGCGGTTTAGGGAAGTAGTAAGCACGGTCACAAGTAAGGCAACTGCCTATAGTCTCCATTGTAGTTCCTTTTTGGGGATACCTTATAAAATCCTTGATATGTAACTGGTTAAACCAAAAAAGGAACTACAATGGAGACTATAGGTGTAGTCACAGTCTTCGAGCCCCACTTCAGCAGAAGTGTTTATGAAGAGGACAAGAGGGTGCCTACCACATCAGCAGTGTTCCGTTTTGCATGTTCGAGCGGTCTGACATGACAGAGCCATACCACAAGCTTTCGGCTACAGTCCTGCTTTACCGAGTCCGCGGTTCATGGGCTTTTTGCTTTCCATTGCATGTTAGATGAGTGACAAGACGGCTTCCACTTGTTGATGCGAGCCTTCGTCAGTCTGTATTGTATGTACGGCAACGGTGACTGAGAAGGGACGCCTGGGTTCGAACACGATAGTGTTCGGTTTCTAGTTGCAGGTCATGCTTTCACGAGTCATGACAGTGGCTCGCATACCTCCTCAAAATGGGAGAGTGGGTCTGCATTTTTGTTTGAAGTTTGAAGCTAAATTTGAAGCGGAAGCTTCGGCACTGAGCCTCTCCCAGCCGCATAGGCTCATTCGTTCAACTCAAGCTCTCAGCCAAGCGTTGAATACTTCTTCAACGATTCTGGCAATGCCTGGCGAGGAACCCCGCTTGTGCGGTTAGTGTAAAGTTTGAGCTTTTCGGGGGCCAAGCTACTGAAGAAGATGCTTCCGAAGGGAGATATGGGTCCGTGGTTCTCAAAAGCGCGCGCATTCCGTGGAGCCTAGGAATACGGCCTTGGCCCCCTCTACACGCTTTCGGGGACAAGGAATGCGACAGTGTGAAAGCAAGTTTTGTGTTATGCATTGTTAGGGCATGGTTAGACGGTTAGACGATTTTGTCCCTGTTGTGGGTCGCCGCAGTAGCCCAGGTGTGCTACCTTGAATCAGAACACTCGGGTTTAGTTTCAGGGGTCGTTTAAACCTACAGAACTTCTGGCTGCGTGGAAGACAGCTCCACAATTTGGAAGGTTCCGTTGCCTTTCCCTGCCGATCTCTGCAACCATAGCCACAGCCATCGATTAAATGCTAATCCCTAAACCCGACAACCCGAAGTCCTGGACCCAAGCCCTACAAACCCTAAACCCTAAACCTTTAAACCCTAAACCTTAAACCCTACATCCCAAGATCCACTGTAAGCTGACCCTCGCCAAGGCACGGGGTTCAGATTAAGGCGGCTTTCTGAGGGGTTCAGGGCACGACCGACCGTTGCGGTCATGCGCCAAATACCGCAGAGCCCATATACATAATAAGAAGCATACCCTAAATTGTAGGGGGTCTCCCTGATTGGACTCTTCGTGCGGTTTTAAAGAAAGACACTTCGATCCAAGTGATCACGTGAGTTGCCACGATCCTTGTTGCTAGAAGTGGTTGATCATGGCGATTGGTAATTAAGGCAAAGGGTTCGTGGCTCTCATCGGCGAGCACTTTCTCACACCGCGCCTGTCTATAGCGTTTCATCTTCTCACGTTTGCGACAGCGTGGTTGAGTCCAAGTCCCGAATACACGAAAAAGTGCAGACCAACTACGGGGTTCCTCTTAAGGAACTTGATCTGGGTCACTTTAATAGCGATTCAAGCAAACATAGTGGCTTCCTTATCATGTAAGCTTACATGAAGATCCTTAACAAGAAACCACACTGCTGTGTGTGTTTCATTAGTTTTCCAAGCGCATGTCAGCTTTGCAGAGGGGAAGCAGTTTTGCTTTGGGATTAGCGTCAAGTAGACCCTATGCAAAAAGCCGTACGGAGCGTGAACATGCTTTATCCGTGCCAAAGCCTACACCTTAAGGGTTGTCGACGTTGAGCCCTCGGTGTTCAATGAAAATCTGAGGCTTTACAAGCATCTTATTTCTACTGGTGTAGGGTAAGGTACAGGGTTTAACTAGGGTTTAGGGTTCAGTGTTTTGTGTCTACTGGTATTGGGTGTAGGATTCAATGGACTTTAGGGTGGTGTAGGGTTCCAACCTTGATGGGCCCCAGAACCCCATTATAATTATTAAGGCCCCCACTCTAGACCCTAAACCCTAAACCCTACACCCTAAACCCTAAACCCTAAACCCTACAAGTTGCGCAACTTTCAAGTCAGGTAGCCATCCTCAGCCCTTCATGGCCTAGAACTCATGACGCACTTGACATGTGCCTGGCGCTGCGAAGACCTTCAGTCGGTAGATATGATCCTCAAGGCTTGTGTTGTGTCAGGGCCCCCTAAACCCTAAACCCTAAACCCTAAACCCTAAAACCCTAAAGCCCTAAGCCCTAAAACCCTAAAACCCTAAAACCCTAAAACCCTAAAACCCTAAACCCTAAGCCCTGAACCACTAAAAATACTAAACCCTAAGCCCTAAAAGGCAAGCCCTAGGTCCTTCCACGACCATCTTCGGTAGGACCTTGTCCCTTTTTAGGGTTTAGGGTTTAGGGTTTAGGGTTTCTCAGGTTCTGCTGGTGGCATTCCTGGTCGGGGGGCTTGGATGACACCTATAGTCTCCATTGTAGTTCCTTTTTTTGGTTTAACCAATTACATATCAAAGATTTTATAAGGTATCCCCAAAAAGGAACTACAATGGAGACTATAAGCATTCTCAGAGTTCTAGTATAGAGCTCGGAATCGTCGATTAGTCAGAATAGTATTCGCTGATGCAGTCCCAACATCATACCCTAAACCCTAAACCCTAAACCCTAAACCCGAGGTACTGGCCGTAGCCCTAGTGTGAGTATTCAGGTCTGTATGTTGGGTCTTAGCGGGCTTCGAGGCAAATTGGCTTGAGGCCTAGGGCTGTCGGCTTCTGCTCCGGCGTTCCGTGCAGTTGCCTCTAAGGGGCGTTCAGGTCAGGGGAAGTTTCCTGTGATTGATTCGTTCTTGCGGCCTTGACCAAGTAGGCTTTATGACAGCGAATAAGCCCACAAGCAGCAGAATCAAAGGCTGGGTATGCACAAGGTCCTTGGTATCCGTCTGGGCCTCGTGGCCCACGCAAGCCTCACAGAC